CATAAAAAAACTTAAATGACCTAACAGTGGAGAGACTTGTTCATTTGTGTACACTAATTTAAAGCTACAAAAGTGTTCCTTGATTTTCTGCTGCAATCTAATGTTATTTGTAGATATTCTTTAGTTGACAGCTTATCTTCTTTCCTAACAAATTCAAGGTGTCCAGGAAATCCCTGTCCAACTTCCTAATACTGATTGTACCATTCCATACTCAGCCAGAAAAATTTTTTAAAATGTTGTAGTCTAAATATAAAATATTAGCAGTGTTTCCACAACAGCAGGATTAGACCGGGTAATTTAATTCCTGGCAAGTGGTTTAAGTGAAGTTCATGTATTAGCATTAAAAAAAATATATCTAGCAAAATGCTAGAATTTTTTAAAGTTCTGAAAAATTACAATAATCTTCATATAAAACTGATAATTTAGCCTAAAACCCCGAATAGTCACTTTTTTTGTCATTAGTAGCATAGTTTTCTAAATTAAATCTTCCTTTCCCCATCTTAGCATATTTTGAATTTTCTTGAGCTCTCTTGCAGAATCTTTCCTTTAATCTCTGATTTCAATGCCAGAAGGGGGTAGCCTAATTACCTAGAAATGATATTCTTCTTGATTATTTATAAAGTATTAGAGAATCATTCTGACATCAATTTATTTGATGCTCCTACATATAAAGCTTTTACAAAAATATGTAAATCCATGGAGACAGAAACATACTGCTGCCTGGGGCCCAAAGATGAATAACTGGGGCGTCACCACTTAATGGAAACAAAGTTTTCTTCAGGAGCAATGAAAATATTTTGATTGCTGAATAACACTGTAAATGTACTAAATAAGTTGTTTGCTTTTCAAAAACATGCTTAATACACGAAGACTTCAGTGTTTTTGCAAAGCTTAGAAAAATTTATGGGATTGTTTTCTTTTCTTTGACAACAATGGAAGATTTTAGCTAGTGACTGAACTTAGTTCTGGAGGGTTTATTTGTAGTACTGGGAATCAAAGCCAGGGCATGCCCCAACCCTTTTGTCCATTTTTGTTTCTGAGCCATTATTTCCCATTAACTTTACTCAAGATGGCCTCAAACTTTGAGATTCTCCTGCCTCTGCCTCACAAGTAGCTGAATTACAATCACATATAACCAAATTGTTTTTTAACTCTGGATTTTTAAACTTGATTAATTAAAATGATTGCTATCTCTTTTAGTACTGAGGATCAAACTCAAAAGCCTTACACATACTAGGCAAGTGGTTATCAGTGAGGTACAATCTTAGCCCTGAGTAGGTCAATTTTGATTCACATGCACATGTACAATGATGAATGTACACCAAATATTTCTCAATATAAAAGAATTACCTTCCAGAATCTACCTGTCATAAATAGTATTTAATATCTGAGTTTTTACCAAGTCATATACCTGATGACACTGAGTATTCTTCCTTAGTTTATCCTGAACTACAAAGTTCTTTTTGGTAAGGAGAGTGTAAAAAAGCCTTAACCAATGACAGTTTATGAAACTTTGTCATTTGACAAAGTAACAACAATTACAACAATAACAACAATAAGAACAAGGTCCAGTTATACTGTACAGATAACATATATCTAAAATTTGGACATGGGTACTTCTAAACTTTTCCTTACATAGTTTAAAGAGTGCTTTATATTAAAAAAATTCAGGTGTCAACCTTAAAAACTGGTTCAAACACAATTCTATTTATTATAAAGACACAGGTAAGATATACTTAAAGAATTTGAGTATGATTATTCTATGAAAGTTGATATGTCAAAAAAGCAAAATTCCTAAATTGGTATATAAAAAATGATGTAATATAGAACTTAAAGAGTATTCAAATTAACAAACCTATTTTGGATCTCGATGGAAAAATGGGAGATTATTTTATATTTAAAGATTATCAGTATATGTGTTAGAAAATAAAATTTGAGAACTACATTACAAAATACTACATAATGAGAGATTATTTTGAATGCTAACAGGAACCATTTGGGAGTTGTGATTTCAATTTCTCTGTACTGTGTTTTCAATGTTTCCCTCATTTTTAGAAAGTGAATTACTTTTGATTGAAACAAAAACATTAAGATTTAAAATTTTTAAATTTATTTTATCAAGTGGTCAAAAACTTTATGGCATGGGATCATAGGAACTTTGCTTGACAGAGGTCCACAGTCAGTTTAATGTTTTGTCAAGTGGGAATAAAACTATCTACCCATGATCTGACCCTATCTAGCTTTCTTTTGAAAATCTGGGTATAGAGATTAATATTTTGAAAATAAATTGTTCCACTGTTTGAGCTGAACATTTAATCACTGACTCATGAATAATTTTATTCAGTCTCTACACCCAAAACATATGTCCTGTAACTAAGTTCAAATACTTACCATTTATAAACAGTATGCTACTACTTTCAATTTTTCAATCTGTAGAAAGAACTGTTGTTGTTGTTGTTATTATTATTATTAGTCGTGGAATTTGAACTCTGGGCCTGAGTGCCACTTGAGCTACGGTACCACTTCCAGTTTTCTGGTGGTTTATTGGAGATAAGAGTTTCATGCTGTGGACAGAAGGGAGCCTTACTGCATTGTTGGTGGGAGTGTAAACTTGTTCAACCACTTTGGAAAGCAGTATGGAGGTTCCTCAAAAGACTCCACATAGAGCTCACTTTTGGACATTTACCCAAATGATCACAAACAAGGCCACACTAAAGCTACTAACACTACTATGTTTATTGCAGCATTATTTACCATAGCTAAGATATGGAACCAACCCAGATTCCCCTCAGTAGATGAATGGATCAAGAAAATGTGGTATATATACACAATGGAATTCTATGCCTCCATCAGAAAGAATGACATTGCCCCATTTGTTAGGAAATGGAAAGACTTGGAAAAAATTATAATAAGTGAAGTAAGCCAGGCCCAAAGAAACACAGGTCCCATGGTTTCCCTTATTTGCAATAACTAGTATATGTCTGAGTCAAGCAGAAAAGGTCAGATAAGTTGGTATTAGGGAAATGAACCCTAAGATATGTATTCAAATGTTTTTTTCTTTCAGGTGATTGTTTCTAACACATTTATAAGATGATTTCTTTGTTGCTTTGCATGTCCCTCCCCCATGGTATAATCCCTGTTTTAACTGTATTTTATGTTGGTATAATTTGTGGAGGGGAAGGGAAAAAACAAATCATTTAAATAGGGATACAGGTGGACCCATTGCAACAATGAGAGGTACAAGTCGTTATGTGGAAAACAAACTTTACAACTTTGGTGGGGGGGGGGGGGCGGCGGAGGAGAATGGGTGAAGGGGTGGGGAGAGGATGGGAAGGGATGGGAAGGGGAAACAAAGGAGGAGGCTACAATGCTTGATTAGAAATGTACTCATTATCTTGCCCATGTAATTGTAACCGCTCTGTACAGTATTTTTACAATAAAAAATAAATAAATGTGTATAATTTTTCTCTCTCAAAAAAAAAAAAAAAAAAGAGTTTCATGGACTTTCCTGCCTGGGCTGGCTTTGAACCATGATCCTCTGATCTCAGCCTCCTGTAGCTAGGATTACAGGCATGAGCCACCAACACCTGACTTGTTATATTTTTTCTTTATAAGGTATGTTATGTTCACTTCTCTTTTCCAACCTCTATATTTAATTTTGCTTCTTTGTGCATCCTACCCCTATATACTAATATTCTTAAAATGGAGTAACCAGGACTCCAAGTAACATTCAGATGGTTTCCAGTTTTAATTAGCCAGAATTAATAGTCACAGGATATCTGCATATTCCTTTTAAAATATAATTTGAGAATACAATATCAGTGTTGTTAGTAGGTATATAATATTGACAATGGAGTTTACAATCAACTAAACTATACACATCTATTTTACTATTAACTCAAGTCTTCCATAGATATCTACTGCTGAGATTATGCATCTTCTCACATTCAATTTTAGCAAAGTTTAAATATAGGGGGAAAAACATTCACCTTAAAATAAAGGAAACATACTTCTTTCTTAGTCAACAGAAAGCTTGATATAATCTATTCAGTATTTTCTAGTCCAAACCTTACTACAAACTCAATCAATTTATTTACTTTCTTATTTTATCTTTTTATGGTCAGTTTAAGGGAAAAAAAAAAAAAAGATCATTTGGGGCATCATAATCAGGGGAAAAAGTGAACATAAAAATGGAGAAGAAGGGCTGGGAAGGTGGCTCAGTGGTAGAGCGCTTGCCTTGCATGCCTGAGGCCCTGGGTTCGATTCCTCAGCATCACATAAGCAAAAAGAAAAAAAAGCCGGAAGTGGCGCTATGGCTCAAGTGGTAGAGTGCTAACCTTGAGCTGAAGAGCTGAGGGACAGCGCCCAGGCCCAGAGTTCAGGCCCCACGACTGGACCCAAAAAAAAAAAAAAAAAAAAAAAAATGGAGAAGAAATGACTATCACTAGGCTTTTCAGAAATGACAAATGAATACACAAACTCAGTTTTCCTTTCAATATTTTTCTGCAGCAGTGGTGTCAAATTCCAAAAGAAATTGGAATTTCTCTGTATATATTTTTTTATACAAGTTCTTAGAATGTGTTTATAGGGTTATAGTTCAATTTCTGCTTTTACAAGATCACTGAGTTTCTACAAATACAGCTGCTAATTTATTTCTGGGTTTTATAATTGATGTAATATGTGAGAAATAAGAAATGATTAACAGTTTTAAGCTTCAGATTCAAACCCAAGTGTTACATTGTACATCAGTCTTATTTGCAAAAAGCCTAACTCATTAAAATCTCTAAACAAAGTTGTTTATAACTGCTAAGGCTGAGGGAAAATGGACTAATTAAAATTTTTCTCATCACTGTTTTGTTCAAGACCATAAAAAGATTTGCTTAACAAATTTGAGGGTGCTTCCTACCTCTGAAAGTATTTAATATATCCATTGTTCTCATCTAGAGCTTAAGGGTATAGGCTTCGCAGAAACAGTAAAAAGAGTTAAGTGTCTGAAATACCTTGGGTGGTGAAGTTGAAGAGTGCAGGTGTGTCTCGCCCATTTGGTAGTTTGACATTTGGGTCCCGTAATTCATCAAAAAATGAATGTGCACAAGCTTCTAGTGGTGTTAGTCGGGCAGTTGGAGTATACTCCAGGAGACGGCTACATAGTGCAATTGCCTCTGGTGGAGTTCGGGGCCGGAAGACCTAGAGTACAAAGAAGGGAAATAAGAGTTAATAGGAACCTAAGCAAATAGCCCTCTCAGTACTGAGTGAATTCCCACCATGTATAAAACCAAGGTTACATTTGAGAAAGGAACCATCTAGAGTGACAGGTTAATCACATGTGATTTACTAAACAATGTGAACTATATGAGAAAAGCTCAGAGAAAAATCTACATATGCTAATCATAAGCTCTACAATCAAACTTCCATATAAAATATAAAAGGTACATATGAAGGCTAAGTTCTGGAGGTAAATACAACTAGTAGAATATTAAAAAATTAATTTTGAGCTGGGTAGCAGTGGCTCATGCTTGTAATCCTAGCTACGCAGGAGGGTGAAACCAGGATTGAAGTTTGAAGTCAACCCAGGCAGGAAAACCTATGATATTCTTATCTCCAATTAATCATCAAAAAGTTGGAGGACGAGCTGTGGTTTCAAGCGGAAGCCTTGAGCAAAAAAAGCTCAGGAATAGTGCGTGGGCTGAGTTCAAGCTCCAGGACTGGCACAAGCTCGAGCAAATACATACATACATACATACATACATACATACATACACACACACACATGTTCACACACATGCTCACAACTAGTTCAACTTGTGGCAGTAAATAAAGGATTTTTGGCATTATCTTTAACTACATAATTATTGATAATGGATGGCACTCTTCTAATTTGGCAATCATTGTTTTAAAAAAGGAATAAATAGCTATTACGCTAGTTCCATAAATGCTAATACTTTGGTATTATCTCTTCCATAATCAAAGCCTATCATTATTTGAAGTAATTCTTGAGTACTTATGTTTTGATGAACTGCCTGACATTGTTTTCTCAAGTAGCTATTATCATGAAATGTGGACAGATTACTTTCATTTGAATGTATTTGAATAAATGTTCTAGAGTTTTAATCAGCAAGAAAAAAAATGGATTCATCATTATGAGTCATCAAGTTACAGAAAAAGTCAAATTATACAAAGCAAAATGTACTTAAACTAACCTGTTTAAAGAATAGATAACTTTCTTCTACTCACTGTACTTTAAAACAAATCAATACACAAAATGATGACAAAATATACTTGTTCTAAATTATAGCCATTTGAAAAGGATTAAAACAGAAGGAAAAGAAATAGAAATAAATATAAGCATATGGACAAAAAGCCTTTGAAACTACAGAAAAATGAAATATCTTGATAGAATATACAAGTAAATAAAAGGTGTGGCGAGGAAGGTGAGCAGATACATAAAGTGAAGCAGGCACACATAAATGAAAGGGCATGCACACTGTGATAGGGAACAAAGGACTCTGGGGGGCTGTGGTTTCCCAATGAAAACGGCTCACATTTTCTGGCTATTCATTCAGGCTGAAAGCAGATAACTACAGAGTTTGTAAGCTATCCAGGAGACTGTTCATGAGTACTTTATACAAAATCAGTAAAAACTAGTTTTTGATTTTTTTGCTTTTATACAGTTTATTACTGAAAATGCTTATTTCAATGGAAATTGAGAAACTGCATAGAGTAGGATCTTAGGAACTTATCTGTTGGATATGTCTTAGTTAATTTGTTGGCTTTGTTTAGAAGGCCTTGCCTTTTTATGCCTTTGAGTACGTTTATTTGCCTTAGTCAAAGACATCTTAATGTTATTGCATATTATTTAATATGTTTAACTCTTGCACAAGTAAAAACATTTCCTGCTAACATTCAAATATAAACTAGCAAGATGGCAAGTCATTTTAAGTAAAACTTTCCATGTTTACATTAATGAGGATTTTGTGTTAAGTGTATTAATTAATAAAGTATCACTGTCAGTTTGTTTCTAACTTAAAGAATGCTAACCTATCTGTTGTTTTTCTGGCTATAAATGATCATTCATTTTGGTAGAAAGACATAGATAAGCGTGTTTTGTCAGGAAATTCTAACACATGGAGTCAGAGCTAGAAAGCAATAAAGAAAATTGCTCATTCCAAGAAATATTAAAATCATAATTTAATCTTTTAAAAAGTATAGATTGTTATTTTAAACCCTTTGAGAAGTCTTGATGAGAAATGTCTTGGTTCAGTACTTTGTGGACAATCAGTTGGGATCAAAACCAAGCACCTCCCAGCCTTTAGATATCTGACCATAATATGGAATGTGGTAAGAGCATGCAACTTCCAAAATTATAGTTCATACTAAAAACTAGCTCTTCTGAATTTCCTGTTTCTAAAAAAGAAAAGAGAGAGAGAAAGAGAGAAAAAGAAATAAAAGGAAAAAAAAAGAACAAGCAAAAAAACCCCAAAGGATATCAACTAATGAATTTTGGCTGCCTAATACTTAGGACTTTTGCGTTCATGAATCTTTATCTACATTTATTCTTATAAAAATAATGACTTTAAAAAATGCCTCAATTTCCAAAATTCAATCTGTGCATCAATGGATCACCTAAGGTACTGTTTTTCTAAGTGTATCATAAGAAATACTAGACCACACCAATAATGAAAACAAACTATAGTTACCTCCACTGCTTTTCTTGACTACATTTTAAGAATGAAAAATTGTTTAGTCTTCCAAAAATGTTTTCCCCTGAATTTTATAAACCTGCCCTGAAATTTTGGGGAAAAAAAAATATAAGTACATACCCGAACTCCTGAGGTGAAATGTCCTGTTCCTGATGAATCCTAAAGATGATAATGCAGTGAAATAATCCAAACAGGGGAAGTCAATCCAAAAGAGAATAGTCAGGCAAGGAAAAATATAACCACTGTTATAAGAAATCCATGGTGTATGGGGGGACATAGGAAATGTTTATACAGTTATTAACTTTAAACATCAGTCTCCACAGTAGCAAGTCCAAATTTTAAAAATTATTTCACCACAAGTGTATGTAAAAATGTTTTGATTTGTGCAATGGTGAGGCACAGTAAAGAAACATTTCAAGTTTTAGTTTATTATGTTCCAATGCCAGTGTGTTTATTAAAAAAATACAAAACCAAAAAAAGTTAAAATTAAAATGAAATCTAGAAGTAAAGTTCCCAAAGTAAAGTGGTCTTCTATGACCTGGATTCATCATCCACAGACATGGCTGGGAAGGGGGCATATTAGTCTGCTTTTAAATATGTAAGTTCCCAATATACTAATTTTTTTTTTACAACTAATGTGTCCCAGTTGCACAGTATAAACATTTTTCTTGCAAAATTATTAGCAATGGGAGAAAAGCATTAAATACATTTGATTATATTACTTGACTTTAAGCCAAACATTTTTACTTTGTGTGAGCTAAGAAGGATCAGGCCACCGCGGATTATTCTCCACTTTTTGGATTGACTTCCCTGCTAAAAGATATTTATTTGCTGACATTATCTTAGGACTCTTCAGGAAATTGACATATCATCTTAGGAGTGCGGGTATAAACTTACTTGCTCTATTGTGGGCTTTGCCCCCTCATACCCTGCACCCATTACTTAAGAAAAATTAATATAGAACATTCTGTCTTTTTTGGAAAAACTCACTGAAAAAATATCTTCTAGCTGTGAGCACTACAAATTCAACACAATTCCATCTGCAAATATGCCCAATTCACCCACCAAAAGCTAAACAAAAGTTTATACAGTAAACAAAACAACTAAGGGACAGTCACAGTTACAGGTGACATGAATAGCAATGTACACCAACACCTAGGCACAACGGAGCCAAATACGCAAGGGAGGTAGCAGGGTCTATTATGTCTAGGTATTGAGAATAACAACAATAACAACAACAACAAAAAATAGCAGAACTCACTCACCGGTAGCTGTGAACTCCCTTGGCTATTCTAAGAGAATGTAACGTTGTTTTTTTTTAAGATAGTTTCCAGTGGGAGAATTAAATATTTTGCAAAAATAAATAATCCGCGGATTACTTTTAGTCTGCAGACTAAAATTTAGTACATGGATTGAAATTCGGCCCATCAGAATTAACATCTCAAAATACAACCAGGTGAACAAAATAGGAAGCCATACTAAAAGAATTGACAGAAGGAGGACTCAACTGGGCCAACTAATAATTAGTGCGCAGACTAAGTATGGCCAGCCAAGTATGCAGCAAGGCCATGGACACCCCTTTAAAAACTAAAACTTAAAAACAAAATAAAACAAACAAAACAAAGCAAAACTAAATAAAGAAACGAGTAAGAGAAAAAGAAAAAAAAAAGAAAGAAAAGAGAAAGGAAAAATTCAAAAGAACCAAAACACTGACATGAACTTTTTAAAGTGATTTAAATACTACCTCACCCATGCAGCAAGGTATTTTCTTAAATTGAAACAATATCAGCTCTCATTGCAAATACTAGTCCACAGGAAAAAATTAACAAAAATTCATCTCCCGCTCCCAAATGAAAGTCTCTGAAGCATTAATTAAATGCAAACAAATTATTAAATGAAGAATTATTCAAAATAAATTTGCATCTGGATAACTAAAAAATGGCTCAATTTTCTCCCTACATATCCTATAATAACAACAACAACAACAACAAAATAGCAGAACGCACTCACCGGTAGCTGTGAACTCCCTTGGCTATTCTAAGTGAATGTAACTCTTTTTTAAGGTAGTTTCTAGTGGGAGATTTTGACCATCAAAGTTCAAACTAAAGCTGATTGTTATTACTGAATCTCAAACCCTCTAATACGATCATTTATAAACACTCACATACATATTAGACCATATCAAGGACTAACATTAAAACTGCTTCTCAGGAACCAGGTGCTGGTGGCTCATGCCTATTATCCTAGTTACTCAAGAGGCTAAGATCGGAGGCTTGTAGTTCGAAGCCATCCCAAGAAGTGAAGTCAACGAGACCATTATCTCCAATTAATCACACACAAAAAAAGCCAAAAGTGGAGCTATGGCTCAGGTGGTAGAGTGCTAGCCTTGAGCAAAAAAGCTGAGGGTCACTGTCCAGGCCTTGAATATAAGCCCCAGAACTAGCACCAAAAAAAGAAGACAAAACAAAACAAAACAAAAATTCCCCT